ACGCCGAGATACCCCAGCATAAAGGGCTTTACAATAATCTAAACGCGAGGTAATAAAGGCATGGATGGCTATCTCCAAGGTGAAAAAGGTTTCACCTTCATTAGAAGTCTTAAATGAAAGAAACAAGTCTTAACTACGGCCCTAATCTGCTTATAAAAGTTAAAATTACAGTCCAGTATTATTCCAAGGTTTTTTACTGAATTGGAAAGTGGGAGGGTCTTTTCTCCCTCAGCCGGATTTCCCATACAAGGATAACCTCCTCTCTCTGGACTCAAGCTGTCTGCTGCTGTTTGTGCTTGTTTTCTTTGCCTTCCTCATCATCCTCAAGGTGAAATAATTTTTGCGTCGTAGTTAAAATTTTTTATTCAGCGTTTTAAATCACTTTTGTTTCACAGACACCTATCGTGTTGTATTTTAGAATTTTGCTATGGAAATGAATGGAAAATGGTCAGAATGTAAATCTGCATAATTTATTTCATTTGTTTGCAAAATAATGTGATCAACAAAAAAAGTAATAGTTTGTAGACAAGCTACTACTTTTTTAGCCTACTCTATTACTACTAGAGTAGGCTAATTTTAATCTGTTGGCCAGATGTTAAGAAGGTGCCTTGAAAATAGAATAAGCAAGTATCATGCACAAAATAGTACATGTCCACCAATAGGTGTTTAGGAACTAGAAATTGCAAAAACGCTTCATTAGAAACACACTTTAGATTCTATTAAACTGATGAATAGTTCATTGTTGTTTCAAAATTTAGCACAGTTTTAAGTGGAGTATTTTCAAAATATCAACTCGGAGCTATGAAGAAACTTTAGGACTTAGGGATGCTGTTGTGTACGAAAAACAGGATGCAGCAGCTGTGGCACTGCCAGTAGCTCATCTCCTCTTCACTCAACGCGCACAGCAGCTCCTGGAAACAAACCCTGAAATCTAAAATGCCTTTGAGTTCCGCCCCTCAGATCTCATCCTTTCTTCGTCCCCTCCTACAGAGAGTGTTGAGTTTTACATCCCTTTAACCCCAAAACTCAACGCAAACCCATCATCTCCACCCACAGCTTGTTGATGAGCAGTACCCGAGTTTACATGCTCGAGGCCTAAAGACTTCTTTCATAATCAAAACATAAACCAAATTACAGACCTCACTAAGAAACCACTAAGGAAAAGTTTTATTCTGCAATAAACAAATCATTTGCTACAGTGGTAAAGTCACACACTTTGTAAAGTGTTTTTGAAGGTATTTTAAGGAGTACATACACACTCAGAAGTCTGAGCTTCACAGTACTTCCTTTTTTGAGGAAACTGATTCAAATGCTGTATCTGTTGCAGATTTCACTCTCACCTCTTTACTTTCAACTGTCATACAAATGCTGGAAATATTATCAGGTCTAGCAGCTGGGTTTGGGCAGATCGCACGGAGTAACTATGAGAGGAAATGTGGAGACTTAAACCTAAACCAACACATCACTAGCTTTGCCAGAAAGACAATGTTTTGGCATTTTTTAAAACCATGGAAAATCAAGAGACAAAAATTCTTTCGTCTTATTTATTGTTAGCTTGCTATTTTAACTCTCTATTTGCTTCTTCCTGGAAGTTGTCAGTACTGTCTGGTGTGACAGTCTCTGTGGAAAAGCTGAAGCAGATGAAACTGAAGATGAGTCATCTTTTTTGGGGTGGGGGGGCAAGGGTGAGAAAAGGGAAACACGACATTTTGATTGATTATGAGTTATAAAAGAATCCAGTTTTGTCTTTGATGACAAATTGAACTTCTTTTTGAGGATGATTAAGTGTGGAGCCGGCTGAATGAATCATCCACTTTTGCGGGCTGCATATTCATCCCGCTCAACTTTAAAAGCTTTTCCTTCGCTGTCAACGGTACATTTGTCAACAGCCATTCACCACCTAACCCTCGTTTCTGTGGTCAAGGAAGTGTATGTGTCTGTTACTGTGTAGTCATGTTTGTGTGTACATTAAAAAACTGTCTAAGTCCAGGAGGATCTGTCGTCCACTGTTCAGCCACTCTGTTTCATTGTTGGAGTCCAAACACAATCCCAAATTATCTGACATTATTGCTGTTAACAGCTGCTGGTTTATCAGTTTATAATCTGAGCCTTCATGTCTCCATGAATATATGCTTATTAGCTTGTGTGAAATCAAGCTCTACAGCCCAATAAATAATTAAAAATACTAAGTACTGTGCATGGTATCCTGTTGCTGCCTTACAGAAAAATGCCTCTTTTTGCTTTCTTGCTACATTTCTCCTTTTATAGTATTTTATTTTTTCTTCTGACCTCCTTGTTCACACTTCGTTCTTGATTAAAAACACGCAACACTGCATATGTGCACAGTTTATAAAACACATTGAAAACTCTAAACCCATCTGTATTAAAAAGCTTATCAAACATCCTTGACATCTGAGGGCATCTCAACATTGCAGCCTGTGTCTTATTGGCACCACTCAGGTGTAAATGTACATAGAAATATGGAATCGCTGTGCCATTTAGCAGCTGCTTCACTGAATAAATAATGAGGGTGGAAAAAAATATAACTGGACAATGAATCAGTGTCTTCAGTTTCTTGTTGAAGTTCTGTGGTGGGACTCGCCTTTCTGTTTTGATCTGGATTCTAAATGTGACCTTGCAGGGAAAAACCTCTCCTTATAATTAACTGTTATAAGACATTACACAGAGGGCCCCTGGCGTTGGTGTGTAAAATCAAAGGCCTGAAGAGCCATCCACTGTTTACACAAATAGCAACCACACTTGGCTGAGATAGTTTAAACACACGCATACAGAAATGGACACACAGAGACAAAACTAGGAAGAGATTCTCAGAAAACCTCTAAATATCTCAGAGTGATTAGGTTTTTATAGATGTGTATTTCCTACTGATGTTAAAAAAATGCTATTTCTGCTGTACTGGAAAGTATATGAACACTTGAATACCTGTCTTGGACATGGTTTTCCATCTAAGCTGACTTGGAGAAGAGTGAAAGAAAGGTGATTTGGTGCAAGTATCTTCAGTTGAGGCCCCTTGTTCTGGCCTGAGTTGTAATTTGCCCACAGGGATCTGGCTGCATTGTGGTAGATCAACTGCTCTGCCTTGTCATTTAGTTGTCTGTGTGTGGCTTGTTGTTAGTGTGGATGCGTGTGTCCACCGTTCTCGGTGACGCACAACCAAGCTAACCTCTTGGCTGCCTGGTCACACACCAACCCTTGCTCTTTATCCCATGTGTTTTCTCTTACTCCAGTTCATTACTTTCAGAATGGCAGCAGCCCAGACGATCAGCAATGCCTCAAATCATCTAAGTACTTCTCATAGTGGCAGTCTTTTTACTGAGAGACTCTCATCTTACAGCCAGGCATAGTTTTCACCTAAAGAGAAAGCAACTCTTTGCCAAAGGAAAAATGTCTGAAGATGTCGGTGTTTGTGGCTTGATGAAGAGGTGCTAAGCCATGTGCAGGCGTACCACAACATGAACTCATTATTAGTGATATCCACATTTTAGTAGGAAATTACATACTCCAGGAGAAAATCTGCTTAAACGTGTATTAAGTTATAATTGTTACCATATCTCTGTAAAGCTGGTAGTATGCGGACTACTGCATCTGTTTGTGTATGTATGTGTCTGGAAAGTCCATTTAGATCTGTAGACACAGGAGTAGAGGAGCAAAGCTGACCTTGGCCCCTTCAGTCCTCAGAGAGAGAGAGGGAACCTAATGACTCACACTGCACTTTGAACACACTTAGTATTACTAGTTTTGCATGTGTTTGTGCCTGCATGGTCGTTAATGCATTTCTGTGTGCATTGTCTTCTTGTTTCCAGCTGCAGCTTTAAAGCATTTTAGTGCGGTTTTATGGTTTGTGGAGTAATTAGTGTAATTCACACATCATTGTCATCTCTTGTAAAACTACCTGACTTTGTTTTACAGTTGGCCACAATTTAAAACATGGCATTGTGGAGCGCCGGTGTATTGTAGAAGAAAGTAAAAAATAAACAGTCATTGTTATTGTTTAAAAGAAAACTCTTTCTGAGCTAGTGGTGTTTAGTTAGTATTTTTATTACTATTAATGATCCAGTTAGAGCTAATTACTATATTTATTCATGTATTTATGTATTAAGTAAATAATAAAAAAAAAAACTCACAGTATGACCAGTTTCAAATTGAGACGTTATCCAAGCAGCATTGTCTGATGTACAAGAATGTACTTTCAGTCAGCCAGTACGTACTGTGTGAGTGTGTGTGTGTGTGTGCGTGCACACTGGCATCAGGAACTCTCCTGTATATTGTGGTTGTGTCTGATCTTACAGACCCCATATGACACAGTGATCTCACACTGAATGAAAAGCCTGCTAGTCAGCGTGTGGTTTGTGTGTAAGTGGAATGAGAAAAGTGAGAGATCGAGACAGAACAAGACAGAGGGAGAGGGGGGGTTAAAAAGAGCATGATATACAGAACAACTACGTCACTTGGGAATTAAATTTGAAAAGGGCCATAAAATCAAGAGTCACAGAAGGAAGTAAAAGTAGAGTAGCTGTGAAAACATGATCATCAACCTCTCTGTCTCTCTGCACGTCTGTTTCAAATTATGGCTTTCTGTGACGTCTCTCTGCTGTAACCAGGAATAAAGTCAAACAGCCAAACGTTAATTTGTAGCACAGTTTACATCTGTGTTGCGGACTGGTGTGTGTGTTTGTGTGTTTTGGATCTGCCGTTGACTTGAGTGTGACTTATCTTTAGCCAAGCAAAGGAAGACTTCTTGTTATAGTACAGAAGAGGAGCACTCTGGATTCTGTGCCATATACAAAAAGAGGCTGACATCTAATGGCACTTCAGTGTACTGCAGCATAGTTTGACATTTGTAATCCCTGAATTTTCTCCCCCTTCTTCTGCGTTCTTCCCTCCACATGTATAGATGTTGGTGAACCGTGTTAATATTGTTCAGACAGCTTTAATTGTTCCATTCCACTCTCTCAACTCCATGTTTCTGTGTGTCTCAGGGATGATTTCGATGAAGAGGGATTCTGCCAGCCTTACAGAGGCATAGCCTGTGCCCGCTTCATCGGCAACCGTAGCATCTTTGTTGATTCATTGCAGATGCAGGGTGAGATCGAGACCCAGATCACAGGTGAGAGACGGGCAATGTGTTTGGGTGGGTTGGACCCCTTTCTTGCAAGAGTTATGTGTTTTGCTGACATTTAAGAATCTCAAGAATGGATCAAATCTGCTTCTGCTATACAGTAGATGGCATTCATCCATGATATACATTTTCTTCTGCAGCATTTTGTTGTTTCTCCCAGGTATTTGTCAATTTTAAAACTTTTCTTTATACAGATTCTCTATAGGTTTGGTTTTTTCTGCCACATCGTGCTTACATGCACTTTTTTGTATGATTATTCAGACACATTGAGCATATGCATCTACACTGAATGTTGCCCCAACAGCTATGTCTTACATTATTTTTAAGACCAATCCAGGTGATCCTTCTCAGGCATTTTGCTGTCTGACAGGAAAAGCTGACAGCCTGCTTTCATCCAGTGAGTTCACTAGTTCAGCCTTCATTTATGGCCATTTTGTCTTGACAAGCCAAACTCGGCTCACATATGTTTTCAGCAATAGAGCAGCTTGGTAAAGCTGTAAAAACTAAATTGGTGACTACCTTTTGCGAATGATGGCTGTTTAGAAGGTTAGCCTTAATTAATATGCAGTAGGAAGAAAAGGAGACATTGCTTATGGGGTTCAGAAGAAATTCAACAAGGTCGCCGCTCAGTATGGAGCAACATGTCTCACATACTGTTTCATACCGTTACAAATGCCTCTGTCTAAGCTTTTGTTTTGTACATTAGCATGAACCTGTCCTCAGAGGTCAGTTTATTGATTATATCTATGCAGCTGCCAGCTTTTACCCTGAGCAGTTCAGAGACAAAGGGGGCCATGAACCCAGATTGTAATCTTCATGGACATACAGTGATTAAGATTCCTGATGCCACAGGATCATAAGCCTACAGTAGAACTGTAAATCATACATTTCATTGCCAGTACATCCACGTTTGGTAGCCATTTGCCATCTGAAAGTTAACGTCAGCTTTACTGACTTTTATTACTGTTTTATCCAAGCAACGTGCTGTAAGAGCATTTGGATGACTGCCAACTTATGTATCCACGTTTTATTGCTTGCCTTCTGCACCACCCTGCACAGAGCTGCCTAACTGAGAATGGCGACCACAGAAAAGCATATGTCTGCAGTAGCTGTTCAGTATGACTGTAAATGATTAAAAACTGCAGCTTTCGTGGTTCACGTCCATCTTTGATCCTGTAAGTGTGTAGATGCTCAGATGTTGGTAGAAATGTTATAACAGGATTTTTAACTTTCTGAAATTTCTTTTAATGAATGTGAGACACATTCAATCAGAGTATCTGCAGTAGTTTTTCATTGATCCCCTATCTCTTAAACAACAGTACAAACATCCGAATATTCATCTAGATGATGAATGTGTAGATGCACGATGATGCGAAATGGTGTTTAAAATTAATTGATGAAAATGATATGTTACCATAAATCATCAATTCCCTTTTTCTTTTCTAATACTTCCTTTGCCTCCTTTGCTCCCAGCGGCCTTCACCATGATCGGAACTTCCAACCATTTGTCTGATCGTTGCTCCCAGTTTGCCATCCCTTCTCTTTGCCACTTTGCCTTCCCCACATGTGACCGCAGTTCAGGAACTGACAAACCTCGGGATCTCTGTAAGGACGAATGTGAGATCCTGGAAAACGACTTGTGTAAGACGGAGTACATCATCGCCCGCTCAAACCCTTTAATCCTGAAGAGACTGAAACTGCCAAACTGTGAAGACCTGGCTGCCTATGACAGCCCAGAGGCTGCAAACTGTCTGAGGATAGGCATCCCTATGGCTGAGCCCATTAATAAGAGTAAGACTTATTCAGCTGCCAATTACATGGCTTTCTATATTACTAATGAAACTACTACAGTCAGAATTTCCCAGAGTGCTAAACAGTGGCATTTTATGACAAGAATGATTATCAACATCCAGCTCAACCACATTCTTGTTCAAGTTTTGTTGTTTACTGAAAAAGGGAAAACTAATCTTTAGGTAGTCAGCTTTAAAGTTCCCCTAAAAAGACTAGTAAGTAAACAGGAGTAGGCTCTTTGTCCGTTCACCAGCGGTTCAACAAAGTCAGTCCTCAATGGTGCTAGAAGGAAGAAGAATGATAGGGATAATATGAGCCTAACAAACCCACTCTTCAACCTAACACAAACACCTAATGCAGGCTGTCAACTTTCTGTCCCCTAGATCACAAGTGTTACAACAGCAGTGGGGCAGACTACCGCGGCACAGTCAGTGTGACTAAGTCGGGGCATCAGTGCCAACCGTGGAACTCCCAGTATCCTCACAGCCACACCTACTTTGCCGTCCGCTATCCGGAGCTGAACGGGGGACACTCCTACTGCCGCAACCCAGGGAACAGACAGGAGGCCCCCTGGTGCTTCACCCTAGAGGAGGGGGTCCGCATGGAGCTCTGTGACATACCTATCTGTGGTGAGAAACTAGATTATGTGTAATGCTTAATGTTGTCTGTGTGAGGCTGTTATTTCTTAATAATTTTTGGTCATCAGCCAATTTCATGGCCTTTTCAAGTGCCTTAGATTTGTGTTACTGCCTATTTAAATTTGTGTTATTGCTCATCTACCTTATATTTCACTTTACATTTCATTTGTATTTTGTGGCATTCATGTGGACGGCAAAGTAAGAATTTCATTGTACAGGGAAACATGTTTCCTAACTGTGCATATGACAAATAAACACTTTGACCTTGACCTTTGACCTTTGATTATAAAAATGCAGCAGTATAGCAAAAATTAGTATGCCTCAATATCACACTATACTATGCTGTTATGTGCTTTCCATCCATCCCTGTAGACCATAAAGACAAGTCTGGTGGCAGCAACATGGAGATCTTGTATATCCTGGTTCCAAGTGTAGCGATCCCATTAGCCATTGCCTTGCTCTTCTTCTTCATTTGTGTTTGCCGGAACAACCAGAAGTCTTCTAGGCCTCCTGCGCCCCGCCAGCCCAAGCCAGTCCGAGGGCAAAATGTTGAGATGTCCATGCTCACAACCGCTTACAAGCCAAAGGTAGAGAGCAGTACAGTCACAGTGCATGACACTTTGTGGGGAAAGTTAATGATGGAGGTTCCTTCGCAGCCTCACACAGCCTGGTGGTGACTCAAAATGAGCTCTAGTTTGCCACGCTAATCTTTTTAAGTCATTAGAGCCACACACTGGTGTGCCAACTGGGACACGTCACAGAATGCTGGGTTGACTGTGTGTGGGTGTGTGAATGAAAGAGAATGACTTGTCTCAGGCAAAGCTTGAGAGCTCAGCAGGCCAAAGAATGTCCAGCTGCAGCTATTTTCCCTTCTATTTACATCTCTCCCACTGTCTCTTTTTCCACATCTCTCCCTCCTGCTCTCACATAATCCATCTCTTCTTGTTGCTCTTCTTCTCTCTCCCTCCATCTTTTTACCCCGGAACTCTTTTTCATCCTTCACTCTTCCCTTCCTTTCCCTCCCTCTTTTGCAAAAACTCTTTGTAATGTAGATCATCATGCCCCTGCTCTGCCAGCCAGCACACAGCTCACCTTAGGATCTGTATCATATTTCTTTGAAGGTTGCACACTCAGTTATATCATGTCTGTTTATCTATATCTCCATAATTTTGGTGGTGGTGGTTGGACTAGGGGTTATCTATAGATAGCATGTCTGCCTTTGCAAATCAGAACCGATGCTCAAGGTAATGTGTATAATGTTACCGTCAACAACTGCAGAGAAAATCACAAAATGTCACAGAAACATCAGAAGCCATTAATATCCTTGGTTTATTTTCTTTTTCTTTTTCTTTTTTTTTACAAACAGAGTAAATATTTCATTGACCTAAAAAGGGTCTCGCCTCGCTGTGTTTAGATGACAACCTCGTTTCTACAAAGAGTCAAGTTTATGTCAAACCAAAGATATTTTTCAGTGATAACACCTCAGTTATGGAATTATACAGTTGTTTTCAGTTAATATCTTGAAATATGGCCCACACATACAATATCAGTCCACATAACCATTCAGTGTAAGATTTATGAAGCAAAAAATAAATAAAACTTTTTAAAACGTGCAGTTCTCACCCATTTTTCAAGTACAATTGAAATAAATGAAGGATTTACATTTTTATATTATGCAGTAATTTAAATAAATTATTACCAAATTGTCTTTCTTCTTTGCTTTTATCTATAGTAGAGCCTTGGGATAGGGTTAGGCTATTACCCAGTAGTCTTTGCTGTAGGGTCACCCAGGGGCCACAGCCTGTCACAGTCCATTTAGACACACAAACCTGTGATGGTGTGAGGAGGATCTGAGGGTTTGGGTGTGGGGAGGAATGAAAGGGTGAAGCAACCCCATAACTAAAAACATCTGTGTCTCTCCACACTCCTCTCAAAGTCCTACACGCCCTCAGAAACACACACAGTACCCCCCTCACAGCTCATACAGACCAGTGTGTGTCTGTCTTGCTCACTGAGGAATTTCCTTATTCATCTCATGAGTTCCTGGAATGTGAAAATCTTTACCAACCTCTCCTCACCTTTTATCATCTCCAAAGCTACACACACACAAAAATCCCCACTGTGTCTTTTTTTTTAAGTCACCTGCATAGCGCTACAGTAGATATGAGAGTGGAGTCACTGAGGATGAACACAGTCAGTGATCACCACAGTTCACCAGTGGGGTTGTCAGAAATAGTGGAGGAAAAATTATAAGAACACAACCAACCCAAAAAAGTCTTTGGTCTAACTTTAAAGGGTACATCTAAACTGTCAGCAAATCCCATGAGAAGACCAAAACCAGCTTTCCAGCTTTCTTATCTTGTCTGTGACTTTTCCTCAGCCCCATTCAT